GCCCCCCGGGCGCGGGCTCAGAAGTTTGGGTCATGCCCCCCCCAGCGCCTTGTCCCCGCCCGCCTCGGCTCCACTGCCAACCGTGAGGCGGCAGCAGCCAGTGCTGGCCAATAAGAAAGCAGGGGCTGGCCCACCCTCCCGGGGAAGGGAGGAAGCTCTCTGGGAATTGGCGAGAATAACCGTACCCAGGAGGCTCGCCAGCCAATGCCGAGAGCAACCGTTAGCCTAGCCCCACCCACTCTCGCTAACTGACTCCTGGGATAGACAGCGCAAGCTGGAGCGCTCCCTCTGCCTCCGCCCCCGCTGCCATCAGTGCCCGCCCCTCCTCAGCAGCCACCAATGGGAGAGGTAACCGTCCGCCGCCCAGGCTGTGCTGGATGGCCAGTTTCAAACGGGCCGGCAGCCACGGCCCCGCCCGGGGGCGGGAGACAGCCAATGGGAGGAGGGGGGCGGCTGCCGCGGGAAAGCTGACCCGGCTGTTGCCGAGGAGTGCTGAGGGGCTGGCCTGGGCGGCTTGGGGGAGCTCTGCCCTTGCACCTGCTGTTTCTGCTCCTCCGTGACCGGTCCCGGTACTAGCGGCCTGGTCCCTAGGCCTGTTGGAGAGAGGGGAAGGTGTTGGCGCAGGGGGGTTGACCATCCAGCTTGATTACAAACTTCTGTGTAGAAATATTGCTCTTTACAGTGCACCGTTTGTGTATATTTTGTGTCTCAGTTTTACAGCGTCTCGCTGCTTTTTTTCTGTTGCAGCAAGTGAGCTGTGAGGAGTTCCCCTGCAGAATCCCTTCATCCAGGAAGTACAGGTGCAGTGAGAACTAATGTCTGGAAATAATTGTCAGATAACAAGGGAGAAATAAGGTGCTGTTTTCTTAATATTGAGAATAATTAACCTTAGTGTCATCTACAAAACTGGTGGCTTCTTTATTTCTTGAAGCCATTAAATCATACTGGAAAACACATTAATTGAATTTGCTTTAATCACATTTGTTACTTGGCTCAGTTTGGAGGTAACTTCTTGCAATACACTGGCTTTTTCTTTCTAAGAAACATGGAAATGCAAGCATTTTCACCATCTAACAACCCCTTTTCTATCCCTGGGCCTTTTCATGCATTTGGTCCTTAAGTAGGGCTCTTCTTTGTATGGGCTTTCGCCCCAAATTTGGACATTGCATCATTCAGGTTGTGAGCTGGAGCTAGCTATTCCTGTGGGCTGCATCTATGCTGTCTGGTTTTCCCATGCCTATGTCAACCACCATCCGTGTTTGTGTTCTCAGAATAAACCATTTTGTACCAATTTCCTGGTCTCCCACGTTATCTCTACGTAAATATTTCAGCATAGGCAACAAAAAGATGAGTAGCGCATGCTCAATGCTCTGAAGAGAAAGCTGAGGACGCTGAATGAGGCAGGGTTGGCAAGGCTTTTTCTACACATCAGAAAGCCTGCTTGTGTCCAGAGCCAAGGTAGTGGTTGAGTTTTAAACTACTGCAGATGTTGCCAGGGGACAGTATGTGCTGGCTTTCCTTTTCTTAATGACCAGTTTGGCTCTTCTAAGGAAGAGTGGAAGTTTAAGTGAGCAAACCATGCAGGGATGCTAAATCTGACAGCGAGGATAGACTCCTGAAGCTAATTCTGGTCACGTGCTTTGTCAGCCCTTGGCTGTTTTGAGGGTTTTTGTATTTGTTTTTCCTGGTAGTACTGCCATGTCCTCTGACAGCGTAGCCAGGACTTTGAGTTTGTCCCCAGTCAATGCTAAGAAATAAACTCTGAATTATGAAATTTCTTAATGCAAAAGCTTGTATAATCTGAGAAGCAAAAGGAAACTGGTAAGCTCAGAACAAAAAAGTTTCTTAAAAAAGGTAATATATCATGGCATTTATAATGCCAATTTTGTTAAATCAGATATGTCACTTTTAAAAAAATTTGGTTTAAAATAAATTACTGCTTGACTTCTTGCTCCAGCTAAAAATGTAAAACAAGCAAGTCAGGTTTGTTTGGGTTTAATGGATTTTGGTTTATTGGTTTTTTTTTTTAAAGTAACATACTCATGTATTATATTTTCTTATATCCCTGTCTGTTTGTTAAAATATCAGGATTTCTAGTGCTAATCTAATTAAATTGACTCAAGTGGAAATATTTGAAAGGGACCTGTCTCTGGGGGCATGTCAGCTAGCTGGCAATCAGCCAGCAACACCATTTGGGTACTACCCAAATTGCCCTGCCAGCAGCTCGACTCTGATTCTGCACTGTTAGTGCAGCTTTGCAGTGGGGGAGCTGAAGCCAATCAGGCAGGGTGGCGGGGCCACCACCTCTGTTTCTGCTGGGGCCAATCCTACTTGACATAGCCATAAAAGCAATAGAGGTCATTTATACCTCAACTAAATTAGCGGTAGCACTGATAATGTTACACTAAGATCAGGCTAGTAACGAAACCTTACTGAGAACTCTGGGTGCTGCTGCAACATATCTTCAAATAAATGAGCAGTGTTTGCAGAGATTAGTGGTTTGCCGTTGTCGTAGAAGACAATAATCATAAGTATAGAATATGATTATTTTATTTAAAAATTGCTAGCTTGTCCTCTCCTCACCATCTACTTACTAACTAAAGAAAACCAGTTCTTTCAAGTCTTCCGCAGAACTTACATTTTGTAAATGTACCATTTTTTATCTTTTTTTTTTCTGGACTTTTTTTCCATCTTAAACCATCATGTCTAAAATTAGGCACAGTATTCAAACTCTGACTTCAGTGCTGCTAAACAGAGCAGAATAATTATCTCCTGTGAGGTGCACTTAACACTCCTGTTAATCCTTTGCAGAATTAAATTTGTCTGGTTTTGCCCTTTTGCATCACCATGTTCATATGTGATCCCTAGTTTGTGATTCAGTGTAACTATAGATCCCTTTCAGCAAGATCCTCTTGTGGCTGGCTGGCACATTTCTGGCAAATCATTAATTAGCAGGTTGTAAGATGTCCCTAGAGTAGGGATCCCACTGTGACCAGGGGGTTCATAAGTGTGGGAAAAGAAAGGTCCCTTAGCAGATTTACTGGAAAGCATTTTTTACCTAGTATTGGATTTTTTCTGGGATACCTGTCACATCAAGCAGAAGTTTCTCTCTCTTCCTCTATAGTCAACTCAGTTGCTTAACAATGGCACTGTATTTTTGATGGAATGCTTATACTTTGTTCTTTTTGTCAACCTTTCTTGTAACCCCCTATTCCTATTGCAATGAAGGCTCTAGAAATTTAACTTCTAGGGGACACTTCATTAAACCAGTTGATGGTAAAACATCAGCTCAGTATTAATCAGCAGTCAAAAAGGGTACTACAGCATCAGCAATGACTAATAGTAGGCTTGTTGCTATTGTGGTTGTCTGGAGATGCCAACACAGCTTGCTTTGCTATGTCACTGCCCAAATGCTGCCCACAGCCTTGGTCACCCCATCACAAAAGGGTTTATGAACTAGAAAGGTACAGAGAGAAGCAACTAGGATAAACATGAGACTGGACAAACAGACATAGAGCGATGGTGTGATCAAAGGTGCAGCTGATGCAGCACCTTCTGAGAGTGGCAATAGCGGAGGCCAAGAGTTGAGGATGAGAGCAGTCCGTGTGGGCTTTTGCATTATATCTTCCCAGCCAAGTTATGAGTAAGGAAAATCTGCTATTTGAGGATTAATTAAATAGATCATCTTGCTTAGAAAAGAGACACCTGAATGGGGATATGCTACAGGAATGTAAGTTGCAAATGGTACGGAAAAAGTGCATGGAGAACAGCCGTATATATTTTGCACAACAAATGAGAAGATTTCCAATAAACTTTTCAGGAATCTAGATTTAAAACAGTCTAAATGTAACCCTTTTTTTGCCTGACGCTTAAGTAAACTATACTCATGCCATTTACTTGCATAACTAGGCTTATGCTTAAGTTTAAAATAACTAGGAAACTGCTTGTCAAAGGTTGTTGCAGCTGCCCAAAAGATGAAGGGATCAAAGATGTTAGAGATAAGAGGAGAAACATCTATTGGAGTTTTACAGTACAAAAATGTATACAGAGCTGTTTCTCAGGAAAACTGCTGGTGAGAGGGTTTTCTGTTCTGCCATGTCACTCATAGCATTCACAAATGAGCCCTGGCAAAGAAAGCTGAGCCCCAGCTCTGACACGGCACAGCTATTTTTGGGATCCCCATGTCTCAGTTTCTATCACCTCTCCAGTGACTATCAGCCTGTGTATTTTTAAGGACAGATTGCACACACATGCTGTGTCAGAGCAGCATGGATAACCTCTTCCAGCTGTGACCCACACAGCTCCCTACAAGCATCTATCAGCTGCTCCAGCTGTCAGTAGCAGCTCAGCTGTGTCTTGCTATGGCCTTCAAGCAAGGAAGGGATTGTAACTTTGCTCTCCTAGGAGCAGAACTGGGCTTAAAATATGATACTGAGAATGAGAATCTACTACCTGGCTTCTTTCTCATCCATAGTGCTGATTTTATGGATGTCACTGATAAATGTTGCCCTGTTTTTTATGCTGGTAGGGCTTTGCTAGGAGAGGGAGACACCCTACAGGGTCCTTGGGAGATGGTAAGCAAAAGGATATTATACCATAGCCTCTTTACTCTTTTAGTCATCTGGGGATGAGTTCCAGCTATGCTTCTTAATTTTTTGAGTTTTTACTTACTATTTGATGATGAAAACTCATATGAAGTGCTACATCAAAAGTATACAGGCCCCTTACAGTAGGATAAACATTGCTATCAGGTATCAACCAGCAAGATCATAATCTGACCCCTAACATTGTGCTTGTGTTAAAGAACCATTGGCTTTTATTTCTTTTTTTCTTGTCCACTAATGTGCTGGGCATTTGCGTTATGAAAGGTACATAAGCTTCTACACCTGGAGATTAAATTGTTTATATTGAGGATTGACACTACAAACTTAGCAACCAGGTTACAGGCACAAAACTCTGAGCTACTTAGAAGACACTAACAACACAGAGGGCCAGGCATAGTGCCACTGCCAGGGAAAGGCTAGCAACCATTAAGGACAGACAAATATTCACTCTGAGTTACTCTTCTGCGATCATCGCAACCTGCAGCACAAAAATGTGTTGAGATAAAAGGCAGAAAAAGCTGTGTCTGTGACATTGTGGGGAACATGTGAACTCATTTTTATCTTGGAGTGAAACTGAAGCTTTTATCTTCATCCCTTAATTGCTCACAATCATGTGTTTTGTTTTTTTTTCTAATGGAATTTTTATTTTTCTAATTATTCTTTGAAGATCGTGGATGGCAAAAAATGACTACTGAATACCTATCTGCCTTTGCTTAGCTTTTTAACCTGTTTTTGCCTGCCTGCTCTTCCAGGAGACTGCTACAATGACAGATCCTTCAATGTTGGATCACCTAACACGACTGAAACTCAAACTCCTAGAAAAGGTAAGGGAATAATTCTGCAGTGGTCACCTTTGCTCTGCTTTTTTCTCTTGCAAGTTTAAGTATTAACATTGTATTTTAAATTATTATATTTCCATTGAGATACAAAGAGGATCTGCAGCCAATTAAGAAAGTCTTTCTTCGTGCAAGCAGAGGCAGACAAATGTGCAGTGGTGTTACAGCCACTGTCACTTTCTTAACATTGTACAGGTTTACATGGACCTACAGTAAATTAAAAATAGAGTTAAAGTGACTTTGATCTTATGGGAGATGTCACCAATTAGCTCAAAACAAGTTTGAGTTGTGACAGGCAAAGTTTAGGAGTAAATTTTGGGTAAAGAGGATCTTGGATTGTTTTAAGGCAATTTCATGTCTTCTTTTTTTGTCTACTTTTACGTAAGTTATGTTGCCTGGTGAAACATGGGCAGGCCTTCAGTGGAAGCACATGACATGCTGCAGAGAATCCCAGTAGCTCTTTGTTGTGACTCCAGACACCCAGGATTTTCCACTCAGCCTCAGCACATCTGACATCCACTAGTGTGAATCTTCTGTCCTCTAGAAGCCACTTAAAGAGTTTTCTGGAAGGAAAAACAATTTGCCTAGAGATGTGAATGCTGGAAGTGGCATCTAACCTGACTCCACGGTGGAGTCTTTTGTCTTAGATGCAACAGCCATTTGAGAACAAAGCTTTCACAAGTGTGGAGCCATACAGAACCAAGCAAAGAGCCTGTGCCTGAGCAAAAGGTCTTTAATTTCTGAGCATCAGGGAGCAGCAAGGGCCAGCTGCTCCCTAAGGGGCAAGGAGTTGAGCACAATAACACAGCCAGCAGAGCAGGGGCCTGGTGAGCCAGCCCCCAAGTGAGGCAAGCAGGGCAGAACCAGAGATGGTGGTCAGGTTCAACGAAAAGTCCAGAACTATCAGGCAAGCTCATGGTGATGAAGCAGGTCCAAGGCCAACCTGGGAAGTGTCTGCAGACTGGGATCAGTGTTAACAGGATCCACAGCCAGTCACAGGCATGGCTGTGGTTGAACTGCAGACCAATCCAGTATAGCTCAGGTAGGAACTGAAGACCTAGAGCTGAGATTAAAGGGGTTCCTGGGTACGTGAGCGGTGGGTGTGGATGGAAGCCCCAGGTGAGGCTGGTCAGGGCCATTTAGGCCTATTAGTGCTCCAAATACCCAAAACTGTCCGGCATCAAGTTCTTCATATAATCCAGCTCTCTGCTCTACAAAATAAATGATGTATAAGTCTCCTGATTCATCATGCTATCAATTGCCAGGTTTGGGATAGCCTGGCTTGTTGGAAGCATGACTATTCTTTTCCTGTAACTAGATTTGTAGTGAGACGTTTCATATTTCTATGAATACTTCTTGTAGCCCTCGCTAGCTGTGATGTAGCAGTTAAGAAGCACTGCTGGTTTCCACTTCTGCTTTATTTCCTCCATCCCAAACCTATGCCTGTAAGGTAGGGTTGGAAATTGTTGTGAGCTTTGCTACCTGACTCATAACCAGTTCTTGTTGTGGTTCTACCAACAGAGACTAGAAAATGAACAGGAGAACCTAGAGAAGATGGAGTCACCTCCCCCAGCTGCAAGTAAAAGAGAAGCATTTGTTCTAATTAATAATACGGAAAGGGCCTAGTGATGTTCTCAGGCATGAGTTCCTCAGTAGGTCACACCAGATGATCACATCTCCTCCAGAAAAGCTGCGTGCTAATGGTTGTGCATTTGGGTAGTCAGAACTTGCTCTGTCTTGGCTTCTGTGACAGGGACATTGTCTGGAGGACAGGAGGGAGACTCTGAACTTGAGTCAGTGCTGCTGCAGCTCAGCCTGTATATCTAAATCTGTATGCAGCCCTGGGGATTGGAAGTAGCAAAAATGCAAGTTCCAGTGAAGCTTGTGCAGTAATATCAGTCTGTATACTAGTCTCAGTCCTAACCAAGCCAGTGAATCTTAGAGGCCTTGATGCAAGGAGAACCAGCTTGCTATACTGTGTAGCTGTCTACATTTCACCTTTTGAATTTCTTCAACTTTTTTTTTTTTTTGACAAAGGGAAATGGTCAACCAGCTGAGCACTGACATAAGAATGACCTCCTGCCCAGGTGTCTTCTGCAGCCTGAGGCTGATGCTGTGGATGCTGGTTCAGCTGGAGCAAACTACTGGTGATCCTATTTGTCCTAGCTCCTATACCTAGGAGTGAGCCCTTGTTGCAGTCCAGCTGTATGCTTGGCTTTGGTGATCCTGAAAAGGAGTCGTTAGGATGGCTGTGCATCTCTGAGGGATCCAGGCAGGAGGAACACTCCGCTACTAATACTGCTTTGCACCTTTGAAGCTGACAAATGCAGCCTTGTGCAGACAAGAACATGGTTTCCAGTGTAAAAAAATGTGACTCAGCTTATGAAACAAATCATTATACTGAAAGAGCTGGTCTTGAGGACTGCATTGATAAGCGCTGGGAAACCATTTTACCAAGAAACCATGCATGTGCAATTACATCCTGACTGTGGTTTGAGCAGAGAGGTCAGGAATCCCAGCATGCTTATGAAATTTCCAAAGTTTAGATAATTCTCTATAAAAGCCAGCAAACCAGCAAAAAGTTGATAAATAAGGGAGTTTAAAATAACTTGTGTCTTTATCAAGCCCTTTCAAAGACGTTTCACATACTATGATGTTTCACATGTAAGTAGTGTGTTCCCTTCAACAATACTCCCATGGAAGCTACGCATGCTATGTGCAGTGCATTCATTTCTTTGCACGACACATCCAGTGTTTGTATTATCTGTGGATTAAAAGCCACCAGTAGAAGATCAGTGATATTTCTAGATTGTACTCTGGGCTTATACTCATTGAGCTGATACACAAAGAGTTGGAAAGTTTCAATGCTGTGGCCAAAAATTAAAAATCCCTTTAACAACTTACAGTTTCAAAATACAAGGTGATGCTTTTCAGAGCAGATGCCAGGCATGCCTCCAATGTATCTGAAAATGCTCTTTCTTATTTTCATTTCAAGTGAGTTCAAAATCAGCTGTATGTGGGAAGAACTGAAAAGGAAGTTAATTCAGAACAAAAAGGAAACAGAAAAGTTGACATTCAAAACTGAGTTTGTTTTGATATGTCACAACAAACTTTTTTTACACTTTGCATGATCATCCTCTGCATGTACAGAGTATATTTAGAAAATGTCGTGCTGAAACGAGTTTCTAAGCCAGGAGGCTAAAATGGGGCTTTAAAGAGCAATCTTAAAAGTTTATTTTCAGAGAAGGTGCATTGCCCTTGTAGAGCTGCTGAACAGCTGTGTCTGCATGTGGCATAAAGTCATTATCCGTTCATGGATTTGACAAGAAAACTAGCCTAAAGCTTTTTGTGGAAGAAGTCAAGCTATCTTACAACAGGTTTTCCAGAATTAATCTCATAATGAAGGTGCTATAATAGCTCTGTCTTTGTGATCCTTTGAGAAGATAATGGACTTTTCCTCCTTCAGGGAACAGATGTGAGGATATGCTCCAAAGTGCTCTAAGGCGAAGGAAAGATCTCCTGCAGGAGCTTAGGGTAAGAGCCCTCTCTGTGGACAGAAACAACAGAAAGGGCCAGGTTATCTGCACATCCACTGCCGATGTGGATTCAGTTCTTTCCTGTTCTTTAGTTCTTCTGCTGGGCAGTATTCAGCCCTCTGCTGGTTCGGAGTATAGAGGCTGGGCCAGCTAATCAGGGAGAGGGGCCGGAGAGCAGTATGTCTTCCCTCACTACAGCTGACAAAGCTTGCACCCACTTCAGTTAGCTGGTGGGTTGATTCTGTTTGTTCTGAACTGCTGTATCATAAGCTCTCTGGGGTAGTGCCAAAATGCACTAAATGCAATAGGGGATTTTTAATGCTGCCAAAATAGGGACAGTAGTAACTGTTACTTATTCCTAGTTTGTGGAGGGTACCAACTATTAATGAAGCATTTTACCAGACTTTCAGCAGTTTGTTCTTCACTTTTTTCCCATTCCTTTTTGTTTGTGCTGAAAACTGTATGGCTTAGAGATATGTGGGAAGAAAAACTTTCTTTATACTTGTGTGAGCACTGGTTGAGTGCTTCCCTTCATGCAGTGGTCACTTGTGGTCTGCCGGTCAGATGCAGCAGTGCTGGAAGTTTCTGCAGCAGTGTTTTGGTGAGCAAGGCTGCACACTGCTGCAGGCTCCCAAGGGCTAATCCCATTTAGTCCAGAGACTGCAACAATACTGTCTGTCTTTCTGTGACCAGGTTTTCTTTAAGAAGATACTTGATTTTGCAGGAGCAGCACCTTCTGGAAGAGCTTTCACAGCCACCTGCACCAGCTGGAGAACACCATCATAACCACAGAACTGCCCCCCCACATGTCTACCAGATACCTTTTCCAGCTCCCCAAGTGGAGCCACCAAGGATTATCCAGCAGACAGTAAGGATCCTCTCTCCTAGGAATCACCGCTAGCACTGTGCCTGTCTGAGACAACAACCGCAGGTGGAGGGACTTGGAGGCTGTATGGAAATGCTCGTCCCACCAAAAGGGAAGATACACCTCTTGCTATTGTATGGGACCCTTACTGCCCTAGGCAAAATCTAAGGGAAATCATCTTACAACTAAGGCTGTTACAATTAACAGTGTGAATGGTTTACCATAGGAACAAGGTAGCAAGAGGAGTGGGAGGATTGCCCATGCTCTGGCCTGGTCGTTCAGCCGATTTCCAATGCACATCACTGTCTGCTCATACAGCCCACAACCTCAACAGCTTCTCCATGAGGATCTCATGGGAGACAATGTCCAAAGTCTTACTGAAGTCCAGGCAGATGGTACCCACTGCTGTCCCCTCCCAAAGGTGAGAGAGCTGCCCAAAACCAACCCCGACTTCTCCTTTTTCCTTTCTTTTTCAGATGCCACCTCAGCCTGCCACCATCATCCAGCAGTTACCTCAGCTTCCCCCCCTGATCACGCAGATCCCCCCTGCCCAGCCTTTTGCAGCCCCCTGCTCTGGAAGCATTAAAGAAGGTAACATACCCTCCATCTAGCAGCCAGCTCAGAGAGGGCAGGCAAAGTGCTACATCAAGTGGCAGGGGGCACAGGATGGCATCCAAGCTAGTTAATGACGTGCTGTTTCATGACGAGGATGCTGCTGGACCTGTGGGAATTACACTCCATAAACTGACTAGATACCATTTCTGAGAGGCTTTCAGAAAAACTCCTGTTGCTAAAACTAAAAAAAAGGGACTACAAACTCTGCAAAGCCAGGTTAAGCTGCTGGGGAAGCTTGGGAAAGCAAAACAGCACAATCCAAGGCACTGAGTTATATTAACAAGGTCAAACTCATACTCATGGATGATTCCAAAATTAACAAACAGGCTTCTAAAATATGTTTTTATTCTTTTGTTTCCTCTTAACCTGCTGTTCAATCTCCTCAGAACAATAGAGGGTTTTATTATGCCCTGTGTTTAGAAACAAGACAGAACAGCTGAAAGTGCTGTTCCAAATATAGTGCAATGCCAATAAAAAGAGTTTGTTTCTAAACATAGGTGGATGCTACTGTGAAATAATACATGAGCAAAAACCTGGGATGACTTCCCTGGCTCAACTTTCAGCCAAAGGTTTCTCCATCATACAGAGAAATCCCCAGTCATGAAATTGCAATATTTCTCAGCTTTTTCTTCATCTAAGTGTCTGGATTTTTGAATCAGAGTTTATTTTCATAAACAAAATAGTCCCAATTCATGCATGACTTTTCTGAAGCTGATAAATGTAAACTACTTTTGGTATGACCAGTTAAAACAAAAGGAGACTTGCCTTGTTTTTTTTTTTTTTCTTCCCCTCTCCCTCCTTCCTTCTGCTCCCAAGCAAATTAGTTCCACTGGACAGGTCCTTTGTGATTCTGACCCAGAGATCACGGTAAGTAGATTTGATATGCATGCAGTGGACTCTCAAGGTGGCACTGCAATATCACGTAAAGTTGAGGAAACCTCTCACATGGAAAGCAATGGTCTTCAGCTGAAGCAATGGAGAGTGTTGTAAGGAGCTGGTCCATGCTGGAGTAAGCGAAAGAGCTCTAGCACTCAGCGCTTCTCCAGCCTTCCAGTCAGCATAGCCAGAGGGGTGGGCTTATAGGGAAATTAACAGACAGAAGATGCTCAAGAGCAGCTTTCTTGTACAAGGGAGGAGAAACAGGAGGGCTGATCTGAACAGTTTTATTCATATACATTAATTTTGCACTGCCTGGACAAATAATGCTGATATTCTTCACATGTCCCTTTCAGCTACTTTGTCTTGGTTGCAGTGACCAGTCCGTATGCTGGAGGGCACTTCTTACCGAGATGCCTCTGCTGCTTGTCAGTTGCTGATAAAGCTCTTACTTTCTTCCTTGGGGTGACCTCTTCCCAGATATGGTAGAGATGATGCTGATGCAGAACGCTCAGATGCACCAGATCATCATGCAGAACATGATGCTGAAGGCTCTGCCACCAATGGCGTTTGCACAGTCTGCTGGAGCCAGCTCTCCCCTGCTTCAGCATGCACAGCAGGTAATGACACTGGAGTCTGAAGGGCATCCTTGCTCACACGAGGCAATGGTTGATCTCCCTGGCAGGGTGCAGGGCCTGGACAAAACATGCAGAAAGTCTGGGACATTTAATAGCTGTGCACATCTTCAAACCCACTGCACCAGAAGACTGGCTCAGTAATACTAAGCAGAGCACAGCCTGCCTCTTTACCATGATGAGCAATGTGACACGACCCAATGGAAGAATGTCTCCTCCACACGTGCAAACTGGATTCAGTCCAGCTCTGAAAATTATTTGGCCTGTACAGTTGAACCACTAGCAGACTATGCATGGAAGACATCTACACTGGGCATCTGCTGCTGCAGGTCCGCTTGCTGCAAACAGTGGGGCAATATTTGTGTTACAATTCCTGTAACTGGTAAAATTTGTCCTGGCAGTTTGAAATGGGCTAGAGCTGAAGCACGCTTTTGGGTTTTGGGTTTGGGATTTGGGATACTTGGAGCCTCGCTGCTCTAGTTCCTGTCTTACTGAAAATCAATGGCTACTGAGCTCTGAAAGGACTTAAAGATATTTTGGTGTGTAGATCCCTATAGGGATTTTTCCAAAACATGTCCAGTGCCTGATAAGAGATAGGTAGTTTTGAACATATCCTTAGATGCCCAATTCCTAAGCTATTTTTAACATGGTGATATAGCTCCTTAGCATCCTTAAGTGCTTTGGAAAAATGTATTTCTAGTCTCCACTCTGTAGCAGTCATTTATTACCTAAGAAGCAAGGACAGTTGATCTTTGGGGAGGAGGGGATGTCCCAGTGTTGCAAAAACTTCCCCTGTACTTTTCCTAACCCTCCATTTTCAGACTAACTATGTCTTTCCCCTGTGCTGTAAGAAAGATTTGTTTTCTTTTTCTCGGATGTTAAGGTTGTCAGGTCCTGAGATTGTTACTCCCACATTGTTACTCCTTGCCCAGCTCACTTGCACCTTTCCTATGTGCTATTTGCAAAAGCAACAAATGGCTTAAAAGCCCCTGAACCCTGGGTTTAATGGAGGGGTAGGAAATTTAATCCTCCTCCATAGCCCCTCCTATTGGCCTGGAGGGAGCTGATGAGTTTTTGCACCTGTTGGGACCAAATGTCTGCCCCAGACAGAAAGCCTCTGACAGCAGCTGCTAGCTCTTATGTTTTGGGGCATTGATGTCCCAGAAGGCCACCCGCAGTGCAGAGGGGCCCATTGCTTGCGTCAGCCATGGTCCCAGGGTGGATTTGCTGTGGAAATGGTAGGCAGTGGCGGCTCTTCCTCATATCAGAGCTGTGCCAAACGTTGCCTTGGGCGGAAGTCCTTTTCTATTTTCCTTAAACTTTGTGGTTTCTGGTTTCAAATACTCTTTTCCCCTTGCCGGGAGGCAGATGTCTGGGGCT